TTCCACTGGGTGCTTAAATGTATATCATATAATCCCATTTCTCAATTATTGTGCATAGCACCCAGGTGATATGGATTTAATTAAATCCATGCTACAGATAGAGAAGCAGAGGCACAAAAACGATTAATAACTTGACTAAAGTCACATAGCCAGTAAGTGGCAAAACTGAGATTCAAATCTAGGCTTGTCTAACTTCAAAGAACCCAAGTCCATGCTTTTTCCAGAGCTTACTACTTCTCCCTGGCAGCATCTGTAGTATATTCAGGGCAAGCAGTCATCTCTGGGTGCACTTAAATTGCTAGCTCTCTGTAGATACATCATTCACATCAAATTCTGTATTGTATGTAAAACAGACTGTCATATATTTCTGTAAATTTCTGTAAAACAGACTGTCATAACTATTTCTATTGCAAGTTACTGTTTTATTGATGCAATTATTATTATTATTATTATTATTATTATTATTATTAGTTTGAGACTGAGTCTTGCTCTGTTGCCCAGACTAGAGTGCAGTGGCATGATCTCAGCTCACTGCAACCTCTGCCTCCCAGGTTCAAGTGATTCTCCCGCCTCAGCCTCCCAAGTAACTGGGATTATAGGCGCCCACCACCGCGTCCAGCTAACTTTTGTAGTTTTAGTAGAGACGAGGTTTCACCATCTTGGCCAAGCTGGTCTCAAACTCCTCACCTCATGATCCACCTGCCTCGGCCTCCCAAAGTACTGAGATTACAGGTGTGAGCCACCGTGCCCAGCCTAATGCAATTTTTTAAAGGCTTCTACAAAGCTACTTAGGGCAAACTGCTCTCCTGTGAACAAGGCCAAGGCCATGGTGGGAGGGGTTCCACGGCTGTTCCTCTCCCATCCCCACCCCAGATACTCAGAGAGCCCTTTCTCTGTTCTTTCTTTTTCTGCTTCACTATCAAACATTTTTCCAGCAGCAATTGAAGGGACAGACAATAGTATGTTTATTGGAACTTTTTTCTGAATAATATATGTTATATATATGCATTTTTCTGGCTATTTAAGTCATGTACTTTCTTATATAGGAAAGCTTGGGAAAATTTGAGAAAAATGTAAAGAACAAAATATAAATTAATTCTAGTTCCACTGTAGAGAAATAACCACTGTTAGGATTTTTTTTCATGACAAGCTTTTTTGATGACCTCAGTGTCATACTTTATGCTCTTAACATAATCTAGGACTTCATGTGCTCATGGATACTCAAAGAATTGCTACTCAATTAGCCATACATAATTATTAGGAAAAATACAGGCTTCACCTCTGGTCTTCAAATAATGTTAAGTGGAATGTAATTGATAACTCATGTTAAAACTTCCTAAACCTTTGTTTCTACTACTGTCCTACCTTTCCACACCCAAAATCTATATAATAGCTTCTGGATTCTCCAACCTACCCCAAATTAGCCTCACCTCTTTATAAGTCTCCCATAACCCTTTCTTATCCTATTTTAAGCTTCTTTTAAATTCAGTAAGGAAGAGTTTCTCTGGCCTTCTTTTTTTCCTCAAATTTTATTTTAGATTCAGGAGGTACATGTGAAGGCTGTTACCTGGGTATATTGAATGAGGCTGAGGTTTGGAGTGTGGCTAATTCCACCATCCAGGTACTGAGCATAGTACTCAATAGTTTTTCAACTTTTTCCCCTCTCTCTCCCTCCATCCCCCATCTAGTAGTCCCCAGTTTCTGTTGCTGCCATCTTTATGTCCATGAGTATCTGGATTCCTTTTAAATTTGCTTTTTTCTTTGCTCATTACCCAGAATTTCCATAATAGAGGAAAAGCTGAAACCATACCCAACAAGAAAGAATTTTATCTAAAGTTTTACTACCTTTGAATTCCAGTCTTTCTCTACGCATTCTCCTAATCTTGTCTCATGAAATCATGGCTGCTGAGAATAAGATTTCCTTTGGAGGACAATGAAAAGCAAGGGGGGACAGAAGCTACAAAGAAGGAGAACAGAAAAGTGAGCAACTGAAGACAAAAATTACTTTAGAAGGTGTAAGCACATACAAACAGGGCTCGGTTTACATGTTTCACTTTGAATGAATCTCATTTACCAAGATATCAGGAGGATTTTACTTAAGTCTTTGAGAACATGAGTTTTATTGGCTGCATCATACTCTGTTGTAGAAATACACTGTAATGTACTTTCACAGTCCTCTTTTATTGGACATTTAGATCTAAATTAATTTTGTGCTAATACGAATATTGTATGATAAATACTTTGAGTATATTTTGTGCATTATGTTATAGGCATGTATCATGAAAATGGCAGAGGGAAGATTTTGCTTTGTGACCCACTTTGATAGTCCTTGCCTTTTGCTAGACATGTTATTGATGTTTTGGGATTGAACTGATGTATGTCTTCATTTATTTGTTTTTATTTATTATTTTTTGAATTTTTAAACTGTTTACTTGAACTATAGCAAATACACAAAAAAGCGGACAAATCTTAAGTGAACAGGTCATTAAATCATCACAAACTGACCACAACCCAGGTCAAAGAAACAGAACATTGCTAGCACCCTGGGAGCCCCAATATCACCCCATATTTAGCCCTTTCCCTCTCCCCAAAGGCAACCAAGTTTGCTTTTTTTTTGATTTCATATAAATCAAATCATACTGTAGCATTTTCAAGTGTCTAGTTTCTTTTGTTCTACATTATATCATTGAGATTCATCCACATTGTTATATATAGTAGTAGTTTGTTTTCATTATTATATAACATTCCATTGTAAAATATATCAAAATTTGTTTATCCATCTACTATTGTTTTTTTTTATTATTATACTTTAAGTTCTAGGGTACATGTGCACAACGTGCAGGTTTGTTACATATGTATACATGTGCCATGTTGGTGAGCTGCACCCATCAACTCGTCAGCACCTATCAACTCGCATCTACTATTGTTGAACTGGAACTATTGTTGTTACTGGATTGGGACTATCGTAGCTAATACTGCTATAAGCTTTTTTCTACATGTCTTTTGGTCCACATGTGCACACATTTCTGAGGATATATACCTAGAACTGCTGGGTCATAGTATTATATTAAATTTCAGTAGATGATACCAAAGAGTTTTCTAAAATACTTGTAACAGTTTACATTTCGACCAGAAGTATGACAGTTTTCATCGTTCCACATTCTGGCCCATACTTGGGATTTCTAATCTTTCACATCTAAGTCAATTTTCAGAGTGTGTAATAGTGTTTTTATTTTTCATCCCCTGATTACTAATGAAATTAGTAATGAAACACCTTTTCAAATATTAGTTGGACATTTGGATAAATGTTCTCATTTATAGGTTGCATTTAAGAATAAAGCAAACACAAAATCCTCAGGTATTTTTCTGTGGAGGGGCCCTTAAAAATGGTATGATCTTTTATTCTCTATTCTCCGTGACAGTATGGGGATATAGTTCACACTATTGCTTCAACCTATAGACAAAATGTCAGTAGAAAGGAAGAAAACAAAGAGCCTTGCAAAAGATACGTAACAAATTTTCACCGCTTGGAAATCCACACCGAGCCTAGAACTTTCTCCTTAATTTGTAAAACCACATGAATTTCAGGAGAGACTACTCTATTTTTGAGTCATTGGCACTTAACAAATAAAGATGTGGTGTTGTACGAGTTCAATAAGCTTTACAATCTTTTAAATGCTCTTCACTTAGAAGGAGAGATGTGTTGAAACTAGTCGGTGGGTTGCAGAAAAGGAGGAGAGAAAGGTGGAGCCAGAGGAAGAGGATGTGGGTTTTTGCCACCCTGAAATTCAGCTGAGATCTGCAGAAAACTCAAAGCAGGAAAATTGAAGTTAGGGGGTGATCTTTGAAAGAAATAAACAACCTAGGGTCCTTCAAAATTTAAATGTACTCAAGCAGATGAATGGGATAAATCAGGAGAGCAAATGCTGGTCCACTGTCCTAGAGCTTTAAAAAAGTCATGTGGTAGAGCATCTCCATTCTTTCCCCACCCCCAACTCCTTTTCATTCGTAATTTCTTCATTTATTTATTCAACATGTAATTATTGAAGGGAGCTTTGTGCCAGGCTCCATTTTAGGAGCTGGGATTCTGCTATGAACATATCTGAGAAGGTTCCTCTTCTCAAGGAACTTTTATTATGATAGAGAAGACAAGTAAAAATCAGTAAATAAATAAAATCTTTTCAGCTAGTTAAAAGTGGAAAAACTTAATGAAACAGAGTAATGGGCTGAGTGTAGAGTTAGCTAGGGAATAAGCTCTGAGAAGGGGACATCTGGCCTGAGAGGCTGCATGATGGAGCCAACCATTGGAAGACTTGAGTGGAAATAGAATTTCTGGCTGAGAGAAAAAGAAGACAAAATGTTCTGAGAAGGTGTTTTAGTTGTCTATTGTTGTGTAGTATATTACTCCAAAATTGCATGGCTTAAATCAATCAATCTATCTATCTATCTATCTATCTATCTATCTATCTATCTATCCATCCATCCATCCATCCATCCATCCATATATCTATCTATCCATCCATCCATATGTATTTTTTGAGACGGAGTCTTGCTCTGTCACCCAGGCTGACATGCAGTGGCGTGATCTCGGCTCATTGCAAGCTCCGCTTCCCAGGCTCACGCCATTCTCCTGCCTCAGCCTCCCCAGCAGCTGGGACTACAGGCGCCTGCCACCATGCCCAGCTAATTTTTTTTTTTTTTTTTTTGTATTTTTAGTAGAGGCGGGGTTTCACTGTGTTAATCAGGATGGTCTTGATCTCCTGACCTCGTGATCCGCCCGCCTCGGCCTCCCAGAGTGCTGGGATTACAGGTGTGAGCCACTGCACCCGGCCACAGTGCAATATTTTTTATCTCATAGTTTCTGTGGGTCAGGAATGTGGGCCTGGCTTAACTGAGTCTTCTGTTTCAGGGTCTTTCACAAGCTGTAATTAAAGTGTTGGCCAAGGACGTAGTCTTCTTATGGTTGGACTGGGGATAGAATAGCTTCCAAGTTCACTCACATGATTGATGGCACGATTCAGTTTCTCTCAAGCTGCTAGACTGAGGCCTTCAGTTCCTTGTTGGCTGTTGGCTGGAGGCCACTCTTAGTTCCTCGCAAGTAAACCACCTCATAGGGCAGCTCACGACATGGAAACTTGCGTCATCTGAGTGAGAAAGTGAGAAGGAGAGAGAGAGAGAGAGCCAATAAGATGGAAGTTACAGTCTTTTGCAACCTAAACATGGATGTGACATCACCTTTGCCATATTCTGTTCTTTAAAGGCGAATCACTAGTTCCAGCCTACACAAAGGGTGTGAATATGGAGAGGTGGGAATCACTGTGGGTAGGGTGGCCCTCTTAGGAGCCTGAGTGCCAAAGAGAGGGGAAGCCTGGAATATCAAAGGCACAGGCAGCAGGTCAGAGAGGCTTGTAGATAAGGGGGTAGTGGTGCAAGAGCTGGTCAAAGAGAAAAATGGGTGCCAGCCAGATCATAAGGCCTGATTGGCCAAGGTAAGACATGATAGTTACTGGTGGGTTTCGGGTAAAGATGTAAATACATTTGGTTCAAATTCTGAACAGATTGTTCAGATTGTCACAGGTATATAGGAAGTAGGAGGGACAGGGTAAGGAGGGGAAAGAAGCCAGTTAGAGGCTGCTCTGGCTGTTCATTTCAAGATGGTGGTGGCTTGTCTCACGGTGGTGGTCATAAGAAGAGAGTTACAGAGTGAGGTCTATTTTGGAGGAAGAGTTAGCAGAATTTGCTGGTGGCTTAGATGAGGGTAATGAAGGAAAGAGAAATCAGTTGGTCATTATTTTGATTGCTTTTTATTGTATCTTGTGTTTATTGAAAACCTGAAAGCATGTGAGAGCTAGAAGAATCCTTGGGAATTATTTAATACAGTTTCTTCATCCTACTGACGGGGAAGCTGCAAGCCACTTCATCTTTCTAGTCCTCAGCTGCCAGTTTTGTAATAGGGGAAGCTGGGCTAGATTTTCTCTGAGCATTAAGGAATACTCTCTGAACAAAACCAAAGCTTGAATCTGCACTGACTTCCAGTTTGTGCCTTTGTCCATTTCCTGTATGGAGAAGCGGAGAGGAAGGAAAGGTAGGTGGAGAGGGAGATCAGCCTGTTCAAAGGTGTTGAGTCCAGAGCATGCTTGGTGGGTCAAAGGGGCTTTGGGTAGCCAATGAGCTTTTAAAACCACTATGGTACCAAGATTCTGTGGTCCATTTGCTGGTGGAAAACAGCCTGACCATGTGCTTTCTCAGAGTGCTTAGATGTAGGGCAAAGGTCTGCAGAAATATTTAACCAGGTGAGCAGATACATTATTAATAGTAATATCTACCTGTTATGGAACACACATTGTGTGCTAGACACTGTATAGCTGGAGAAAATATACATTCATTGTTCAGTTTTTTCTCATTCTTGCAGAGCTGCTTCTTCTATACTTCCATTCTTGTGAAAGCAGTTATTCAGACCAGGAAACTCGTAGTCCCATTCCTTCTCTCCTATCCACATAGACCTCATCAGCAAATCCTATTGGCTCGACTTCAAAATAAAACCCAATTCCTACCATTTCTCCATCTCCGTGGCTACCATTGCAGCCCAAACCACCATCCTCTTTTCCTAGAGAACAGGTAACATCTTCCTAACTGGCTTCCACACCTGACCCCTCAGGTCTAACACAACATATCAGCTTGAGTGATCCTAGTAGAACTGAAGTTAGGTCATGGCACTCCTACGTCAAAAGCCTCCAACGGCTCCCAATTACTCTTAGAGAAAACAATCTAAGTCCTTGTAATGGTCCCATAAAGCATTGCATAGTTAGTGCCCCATCCTCTGCACTATCCATAATTAGTGCCCCATCCTCTGCACTATCAGTTACATCTCTGATCTTCCCTCTTAATTCTGTCTCCCTCGCTCACTCCAGTGCAATCATGTGGCCTCCCTGTTCCTGGAACACAGAGGCACCACCCTCCCAATGTCTTGCCTCTGGTCCTCTAAATTTGCTGTTTCCTCTTACCTAGAAAGCTCTTCTTCCAGATACCTACAAAGCTTGCTGTTTCATCGCACACTCCTCCCTTTATTTTCTGAGACAGGGTCTCACTCTGTTGCCCAAGCTGGAGTGCAGTGACACAATCTCAGTTGACTGCAGTCTTGACCTCCTGGACTCAAGTGTTTCTCCCACCCCCACCTTCTAATAGCTGGAACTACAGGAGCACACCACCATGCCTCGCTAATTTTTTTTGTATTTGTAGAGATGGGGTTTCGCCATGTTGCCCAGGCTGGCCTCCAACACCTTAGCTCAAGTGTTCAGCATGCTTTGACCTCTCAAAGTGCAAGGATTACGGGAGTAATCCTCCTCCACTGTGCCTGGGCCCTCACTCCTTTTTGAGGTCTTCACTGCATGTTGCTTTCTCGGTTGCAGTCTTTCCTGGTCATTCTGTCTTGAACTGAACCCCTCCTTCCAATACTCCCTATTCTCTTTCCCTGTTTTATGTTTCTTAGTATTTATCACCTTCAAATGCAATATATTTTCTTTTCTGTCTCCCCTAAGCAGCACATAACTCCACAAGGGCTGAGGCTTTTGTTTTGTTCATTACTGTATCTCCAGAACTTAGAGCATAGTAGATGCTGAATAAATGCTTGTAGAATGAATGAAGAATCTGCCCTATGAGGCAAGTACTCTTTCCCTCTAGTTATCGCATGTGAACACTGAGATGCAGAGAAAATTCGCATTTTGCTTGAGGTCACAAAATTGGAGAATGGCGGAGTTAGGACTTAAACCAGAGTTTGTCAGCTCCCAGAACAGCCACCAGCGTTTGTGTGTTCTTGGAGGCATAACAGAATGTGTTAAGGCCATAACAATGGCTTTAACAGAATGTGAGCCTCAATTTCTTTATTCATAAACATGGAAAGAAATATTTACCCCCATGAAGTTGTTGTAAGGGTCAAGTGGGACACTAAGTGTGAAAGTGCATTGTAAGATACATGTTTTCCTCGCATGGAAAATGTCATTATTCCTATTATGAATACTATGTAGGACTCTATGGGCACCTTGAACTTGGTATGTTCCCAATCAGAAAGCAGCACTGGGTCATAAAAGACACTAGTTGTAGAGACCTGTTGTAGAAGGCCTGGGTAGAAAAAAATAAGAAAATCTGGCTTTCACCAGTTTTGAGCTTGCTGACTCAAGTTGATCAAACTGGGGTTACTGAGCCTCAGCTTCCTCAGCCTTAGATTTAGGCTCACTCTATCCTGCCACATGACTGTAAAACCCATTTGGGATTGCATCAGGGAGGTCTGCAGCAGGTCTTTTTCTCCGATATTACAATTTACACTGTCCTGTCTGTGGGCACATTCAGAAGTAATTTCATGTTTCTCAGCTTTCACTGGGGACCTCAAGCATCTTAAGGAGCAGGCAAGCGGGCGACTCGTGGCAATCTTCTTTACATCCATGTCGTAATTCTTAGGACCCAGCCTGAAAGTCCAGGGCAGTATCATTTCTCACATCTGAGCGAGTTTTCTCATTTGCAGTCATTTCCCGGACAAATCTTTCTGAGAGTACACTTTTTTTTTTTCTTCCTGGAATATAAGCCCATATTGGAATAGATCACTTCCCCCTTAGAGAATCTTTGAAATTTTGAATCTTCTGTAATCCTCTACTAACCTTTAAGCCAGAAAATACCCCTAATTCAAACTGCATAAATAAAGTATTTTTAAAAGCCTAAATACTACTTGGGAGGCTGAGGCAGGAGAATGGCCTGAACCCAGGAGGCGGAGCTTGCAGTGAGCCAAGATCACGCCACTGCACTCCAGCCTGGGCGACAGAGCAAGACTCCGTCTCAAAAAAAAAAAAAAAAAAAAAGCCTAAATAAAATGCAATACAAGGAAAGATTTTGCAGCAATAATAGTATGTCTGGTTAATTTTCAAGTATAAGGCAGAGTTGCTTCTCCTGAAAATAGAAATATTTTCCTGAACACCAGAAGATATGAAAAACTCTTGGTAATGAGTGAAGCAGAAAGCCATTAATGGGATTTGAGTAATTGGCATTCAGTCTTGGTCTTGGGAATGAGGGCAGTGTTATGGAGCAGGCTGCCCCAGGCCACCCGCCTGATTGCTCCTTCAGATGCACAAGTCCCCACTGCAGGCCAAGGACGCACTTGAGATCCCTGCCTAGTGCACCTCAAGACAGGACAGGCAGAAACAGATTGGAGAGATAAATCCGCTCCACAGCCCAAAGCACCAGTTTATGCTCAGATTAGATGAGAAAGGAAGACAGCGGGCTCCTGACTCCACCCTGCTAGGGAGCATCTTTCCAAGCATTTCAGAAATGCTAATGGGATAGGGATCGGGAAGTGCAGGAGGTAGGGGACGCTTCTCTTAGCCTAGGACTCAGCTGTGGGTTTACATGCCAGGATTTTTTCATTTTGCCAATTTCTACAGCCTCACACCGAAGTATTTATTGTGGCAATGAATTTTTAAATTGGCCTTACAAATAGCTTTCTTCCCTCCCTCCCTTTCTTTCTTCTCCCTCTCCCTTCCCCTTTCCCCTGCTTTTCCTCCTCCTCCTCTTCTTCCCCTTTCTTTTCCCCCAACTCTTCTTCCCTTTCTTTCTCCCTCCTCTTATTATATTTTTATTCTTCAAAACCTAGGCTATAATTATAAAATACTAAATTGGAAGGGGCACAAGAGATTATGTTGTGCAACATCTCGTTTTGCACAGGAAGAAACAGATCCAGAGAGGAGAAGTGACTTGTATCTCCTAAATTTTAATTCTTAATTCATCATTAATTGGACAGTGGACTCAGCTAGGAGAAAATGTTATTCCAGTGGAAAAGCCTAGAACCCTAGAAGCTGAGTACAAGTTATTCCTTCGAAAGAACCAACAGGATATTAGTTGTAAAGGTACAGAGGGTATCTGAGAATGGGTGGGGGCAAGTAAAGACAAAGATCTGATCTTGGCAGAGCTGGAATAAATCAAGGAGTGAGACCAAGGGCAAAAGAAAAAGGACTCTTAAGAAGTTCCTGGTCTCAAATCTGATAACACTCCACTGTCTCACCTGCCATGACTCTGGACCTTGTCACCATTGCTTTTTTCTGGACCACTGCAATTATCTGCCTGCGTCCCCTCTATTCTCACACTCTATTGTTCTTTACTGCAGCCATTTATTTATATAGTGTATTATTTCTGTCTGTCTCCCCTATTAGAATGTAAACTGCAGTATGACAGAAACTTTGTCTTTTTCACTGACAGAACCCCAGTGCCTCATCACATGCTTGATACTTTTTAGAAACTCAATAACATTTGTTAAGGGGATGAATGAATTTGATGAATTCCTCTGGTTTAAAGGCCTGGAATCAATCGGGAAGCACATCTTGAGGAGGAGGCTTCCGTATTAGTCTGTTCTCATGTTGCTAATAAAGACAAAGCTGAGACTGGGTAATTTATAAAAAGAAAAAGAGGTTTAATGGACTCACAGTTCCATATGGGAGCTGGGGAGGCTCATAGTGGAAGTCATAGTGGAAG